TGTATGTATTTAATAATATTTAATATATTATATACTTATAAATAATTAAATTATTGTACATGGACGAACACACTGTAAAAAACACCTTATATGTATTGTATGGCTAATGCCAGTAGATACAGCTCAAGCGATAATCGAATCCGCGATCTCTGGCGTTGAAATGCTAATCGGTTGAAGCTTAAACGGAACCCTTATATGATATCTATCAAATTCAAAATTAAAATGAACTCCAAATTACTAAGGAGACATTTTTATAAACACACTAGCATTGCCCACGGCTCCGCCCGCGTTCAGATGACCAAAAACCAAATTCTTAGGTTTTAAATAAAAGCATACTCCTTACATTGCAGTTTTTATATTTTTCTCAGAAATGAGATATTTTCTCTAAGTAAAAAGTATCCTATATGTTGACCCGGATAACCAGCTATCATCATAACAAATTTCATCAAAATCCCTCCATTGATTTTTCTTTGATGCGGTAACAAACAGACAGACAGACAGACAGACAAAACTTTTAAAAATTATAGATTCGGCCTCTGTATCGATAATAAAATCTATTTCAATAAGATTTTCCAAAAAATATAAAATGTACAGATCCGACTTAGTTACAATTTTATTATATGTATAGGTGATATGTTAACTTGATTTAGAGATGATTAGTTAGTTTCTCCAGGGGGAAGCTACCACCGGCTTAGAAAGCAGTTCTAATGAAAAGAGCCTCATAAGGATTCAACATTTGCTCCTATAAATGTCACATTACTTTAGTAAGGAACTAGCGACTCAACTTACTCCCTAGCTAGCTTCCCAATACAATGTTTCATCCCCATTTTCACCCTCTTAAGGGATGATTTCCGGAATACAAAGTATTCTATATCCTTCCCAGGGTCTCAAACAATTTTTTTACCAAATTTCATCTAAATCGGTTCAGTAGATCCAGATATTACCTCTTATAACGTCACAAACTCACAGTTCACAACTTCACAAACTTTACCTCTTTATAATATTAGTATCGATAATGTTTTATTTTGCAAAACATTTTTGACCTAGGTAGGGACTTTTTCTCCATTCTTTTACTTTAAAACTAAAATACCACATAAGTACCTATATATATTATGTAAATTAGCTGTTCATTGACAATCACGTCCACTGGCATCTAAAAATAAGGTAGAATAAAAAAAAACTGTTATCAGCTAAGGTTGCAATGAAATTAATCCAATAAATTAAATATTTACATATATTAAATACTTTTTTAAAACAGAATTACTCAACTAAATATTATTTGTATAGAAATTAATTTAGTATTGAGGCTGCATTTTATAGGCAATATAATCCACGTGAGCATCGAACAGACGACCGTTTTAACAAATAAAAGGTATGATTTCACACAATATATTTCATACAAAAACACCTAAAGGCGTAACGTAAGGCGCGTTTCAAACAATCTGTCGTTGACGTTACAACACCACCGTATTTATTAACAGAGACGCCCGCCCACTTGTGATGTATATGAATTCTATAAAAAAATATTATTTTTTCAATTTTATCATTTAAACGGTTAAATAAAATTGAACTGTCTGTCTGTAATATCAAAATGAATGGCTTTTTACTAAATGCATATGAAATTTTACACGGTACTTATAAGAAAAACACAATTTTTAACATTTTTGGTTGTCAGTTTGTTCCGGTCAATCTCCGGAATGGCTGCACCAATTTTAACGGGACTTTCACGAACAGATAGCTAATAATAGGAGTAACTTAGGCTAATTTTATTTTAGAAAAAGAATTAGAGATCCCTCAAAAAAAACGTACCTAGGGACGCACCCGAGTGAAGCGAGGGTATATCGCTAGAGTGGAATATTTAAATCTATACTAATATTATAAAGAGGTAAAGTTTGTGAGTTGTGACGTTGTAGGGGGTAACCTCTGGATCTACTGAACCGATTTAGATGAAATTTAGTAGATATAGAAGATAGTTTGAGAGCCTGGGAAGGACATAAGATACTTTTTATCCCGGAAATCATTCCTTAATGCGGCGAAAATGAGAATGACAGCATGTATGGAGAATCAACCTAGGGACGAACCCGAGCGAAGCGACGGTGAGTCGCTAGAACCACAGATCATACAATACTATACTAACTAGTACTTAATAAAACTCTTGTGTAATTTATTTTTATTTTTTTATTTAAATAAAAATATAAAATATTAAGGATTTATATACTTTTAATTTTTCTGAGTTTAAAAAAAAACAATTTGATTTCAACAGTGATCAAATAAGATCTTACAAACTGGTAAATTGATTTTTAAAACCACTTTCTTTCATATACATACTAGCAGAACTCCGCTCGCACTAAGATTACAAAAATATCTAAAAAGGTAGGTTTCATACAAACCTTCATCCCCTATTTTACCCCCTTGTGAAAAATGCTAAAGCAGGTATTTATTTAATTTTATTGAAAAACATTAATACAAAGTTTCAAGTAATTCTGATCATAAATATTTTTTTGGGTTGTATTATAACGTGTTATCCCGTGGCTATGAGATAATCTCCCGCTGTAAAAGTAGCCTATGTCACTATCCAGCCCTCTAACTATCTCCATACAAAAAATTATGCCAATCCGTCACTCTGTTTCGACGTGAAAGAAGGACAAACAAACAAACAAACAAACAAACAAACAAACAAACATACAAACCCAATTTCGCATTTATAATATTAGTAGGTATGGATATATCAAAGGTAGGTAGGTAGGTACCTATTATAAGAACAAAATTAAAACATATTGTGAATGAGTAAATAAATATTCCTTTTAATGATAAATTATGAATAATTAATAAAACAAAACAAAGCATTTTAAATATTTATTCCACATGAAATGTATGACACATACAATTATGAAATATTCTTAGTCTAACAAAAATATTTACAATTCTGGTGCATTGTACATTAATAGAGCTTTCGTAGAAGAAAATCTCATCTAAAAATAATATTTTCGTCTTTATCGACGACACGTTTAGTTCAGTTTGTAGTGACCCTACTTGCTGTGCCAGCGGTCGCGGGTTCGAGTCCCGCTGAGGGGATTCATTTGTGTGATAAGCACGAATGTTTGTACTCCAGTCATGGGTGTTTATATTTATAATATGTATTGTATTTAAAGTTATATACGTGTAGTGTATCAACTATCTGGTATCCATAACTCAGGCTTCGTAACTTTTATTTATTTATTTATATCGCACCTACGATGCCCATATATGGGCATTTGGATTTATTTGATTAAGGAACTAAGCTTTGACTGACTTCAAAAACGAGGTAGATACTTAATTCAAGCAAATGGTTTTGTTACGTATATATTACGCAAAAAATAATTATTATTGAACTTATTAAATTAAACTTAATTATTATTAAATTTACGGTAATTTATTTGATTATCAACAGAAATCAAGCTGATTTTCATAATTTCTTTATAATATATAGGTAACACATAACTGGGGTTCCTTATATTCCAAAAATAACATCTACACAGGCTATGAGTGGAATAACTTTCAAGTGATTTCAAAGTAAATAAATCTGTTTAGTTTAAATATAGTAGTTTTAGTAATTATATTTAATCTTTATAATGAGAAAATGCTGTAATAAAAGAAATAGATACATTTCTTGCTTAGAAATAGATAAATAAAAGTGAAATTTTATTGCTATGAGTAATTTCTCTGGCATAAATTAACTAACGTACGTTTAATAAAATTTCAAATAACATACATATAAAGTATATAATAATTGTACTCATAAGATGAAATTACAATTTTTAGACAAAATTTTCTTCTTCATCTTTAGTATTTGTTGCCGTAATAAATATTTTATTCATTAACCCTTCATATTGCTTATACTGTTTTATTCTGTAAAATTGTAACTTTTTTTACATGGAAGAAAATAAATTTTAATTATTTTTTTGAAGTTCTTCTTTGCTATATATAAAACCTTTTAATTATTTTTTTTATTAAATAAATATTCAATTAAGTCATTTCTAACAATTCTTAATTTAGTTATTTTATAAATTATAATACATCTTAATTCTATATTTACATTTTAAGCAAATATTGAAGAAAAAACATAAAAACAGCTACCACAGATTATATTTGAGAATTATAAAGATTACAAATCTTTTAATAATATTAAAAAAAATTAAATTAGACAAAAATTATAAATGTTTATTTATGATATTTTATTAAAATTATGAAATTATTTTCAGGAATTTTTACTTATAAAGTTATAATGCGAGAGTACATTTACATTAGGCATGAAAAAAATTGTCATTATTAAGAACTCAACGTTTTTGAAAGAAAAACAAAGTAATGGTTGCGAAAGTATTGCGAGATACATCTAAAATATCGCAGGTTCAATTCCATATTCCACTTGTTTTAGTTATTATTGAAAAACTTTAAAATGTTAGCAGTTATGAGGCAAAAACATTTCCATCCAAACCATTAATTATCCTGAAACTAGACATCTTCGTGGGCCCTATATAGGTGTGAGAAAGATGACGATTATGCCATCTGCTGAGAAAAACAAAAACAAAATAATGGTAAACAGTATTAGTTTTGCATTATCAGCGTTTTTAATTAATTATTTTTTGTTAATTAAAATAAGTCTTATTTCACACCAGGGCGCTCTACTTTCGACAGAAGTGCTGCTCTCTATAGTTTTTTCCGGCACACTATTCCTTTCACTCCCATAGTCCAATAGGATGGGATATTTTTTAAAAATAAATAAGATTGTTTGATAAATACCAATATTCACTTAAGATTTTTTTAATTGAAAAGCTATGATATTCATTATGGACTTTTCACACAAGTTCTATTGCTTTAATTAGACATATTAAAACAAAATAATACGTAATTATTATTTCAATCTCAAATATCTATTTTTAATCTGTGCAATTTACAAACTATGCATGAATTATAATCTTGTGCTAAAACGTTTAGATACATGACTAATAAAAAGCACGTCAAGTTACATTTATTTCTTCATCAGACGCGCTCGCATCACTATCGAAGTCATCTTCCTCCATATTGTTATACACATTTTCCCGCGCAAATAATGAACTAGCCGCCATTTTATCATCAAAGCGATACTCATTTGAAGTTGATGTGTAAATTTTATTTTTAATTTCTTCATCTTCATTAGAAACTGGTGACATTTTGGGTTTGTCCACTTCAGCATCAGATAAATCTGGGTGTGGGTTGTTTTTGTTGGGCAGAGTCTGTTCCCTGGAGCCACCAGACGCGAGAAGTTCCCGCTCTTTCGAGTTCCGCCATTTCATACGACGGTTTTGGAACCAAATTTTGACCTGTAAAAAAAGTTTGATTAACTGATTACTACAAAAAAGATTTTATAAGATAAACACATATTTATTTTAATTGTAGTCTAAATTAAAATTGCCTTTTATTTATGTCAGTTTTAAATGCTGCTAAGTTCTGTATTTCTTATACATTATTAAGTACCTTTAAGACAAAATATATATTTTATCACTGCTGAAAAAAATATTACTATTGACAGAAAAACTCAAAGTGTTAGTATTTTTGTTACTAATTAACCCTCGTCCCGAGACTAGTTCAAGACCCAAGATTTAACAAACAAACATACATAAAAATCGTTAAATCATAAATCCTTTTACGTCCTGCTAGTAACGCGTATTCCACAAATAATATTAAAAAAAAACGATTATCGTAAAAATTATGAATCGCATTTTTTTGGCATTTAGTGTATTTTTTTTCGAAAATAACAGATTCTGGGTAAAGAATAAAAGCTTTTTGTGGGTGACACGAGTTTATTGATGGTGGGCGTGGTACGCTTTGTGATATTATCGGGAGTGTGAAATAAATATTTATTTTTACTTTATTTTGCTATTATTACTATTAATATATAGAAATACATAGGTAATAGGTAATGTATAGCATTATAGAATATTTGATGTGGATCTTAAAATTATAGGTTCGATGCCTATATATGAGGCTAATGCTTTAAAACTCCTGTAATTTTTATTAATACAATTCTTTATGTATAAAAAAGCCGGCACATCATTGGAAAAATGAGTGTCGCGGAAGTGGGAGTCAAATCTATTAATAATAATTTAGAATATATATATAAATATATTCTTATTAAAAACTAGCGGCTCGTCACAATCGTAGGTACGTTATAAATAGATATATGTAAATAGTTATTAGCCAGCATTAGCCATGTAAATTATTATTATTTTTTTCGTTAATTTTTCATTTTTTCTTTTTGTGAAAACTTTCCGTGTGTATAAAGGAATATACCAAAAAAATAGCTGAATTGGTCGAACCGTTCTCGAGTTTTGCGCTTAGCAACATTTACTTTTATATTATATAGATAATATTTATAGGGGGCTGCATGTAAATAAATTAAATAAAAGCTATTGTGACAAATCGTTGCCATGATAACCGTTGTTATTGTCTGACAAATGATATATAATATTATATCCTTTCCGTATATTATGTTATTCTATAAATATATGATTATAATATGCCTTATTTAATTACTGATTTGTTTTAATGTAATTGCGACATCTGTCACAGCGCCGAAGAAGTTTTACTTCAACCGCGCGTAAAGTGGGTACCTATACAACTATACACGCGCACATTTACTTTTTTAATTTTCGTAGTTCCAGAGATTACTACCTACGTGCAATTTTATTTATTTTTTATAATTAAATAGTTTTGTTTCTTCCTTTTCGCTTAGTAGCTATTGACGAGATTTAGTGTTACCAATAAAAAAATTGGAAACTTTTTTTTATATAGATAGGTAAATTCTATTCATGTATGTTTTCCTTTCAATAATGATTTTGGTGGAATTCCGACCACCAGGCGGACTTTATTATAATTAGTTACTGATGATGTAATCTATAGGTACTTCTATTGTGGTGTCATAATAGGTTAATGACAAGTTTCAAAGTTTGTGGGTATGGATGTTTGTTACTCTTTCACGCCACAACAGCTGAACGGATCTGGATGAAATTTGGCACAGAGATAGATTATAGTTTGGAATTGCACATAGGCTAATTTTTAATATAATAAATAATAGGAAAAATCTACGGTTCCCGTGGGATAAGTTTATTTTTGTTTTCCGCTAGTATTTAATATTTTGTAAGAGCACAATAATACCTTTCTTTGAAACGTAGGTACATAAATAAAAAAAAACGAATAAGCCAATAAAAATTATATTCAATGAAATGTAAGTCAAATAATATTCTGTAAAAAAGTATTCTATCCAGATAACAAAGTTCAATCATTCACAGCATAATGCTGTTGATAGCCGTAAATGATAAATTATGATTCGTACGTTTTAATCGTTATGTTTTTACGTACCTAGTACCTACAGATGATGTAAGTACACTGATTTCAAAATCACAATAAAAGTAATAATTTCACTTTAGAAGTAATAAGTTTGTCTATTTACATTATTTACACTAGCGACTCACCCTCAGGTTCGTCCCTGTTTTGATGCTTAGTATGGAATAGTTAAAAAAACAAAGATCACAAATATCGATCCAGCAGTTATCGAGTTATATGTGTTGTAACAAACCCGACTTTGTTTTTATATAAAGATTAATTTTGATATTTCTTTTTTATTTATTATACCTTCTCATTAGCTTGTATCTGTGTTATGAGATCTTGAAAGTCGATTTTCAATTATTTTTAATTGTCATATCGGTTTAAGACTTTTTTTGACAATACATTATTTTGATTCCATCGATCTGATGATGGAGCTAGGACATGAGGTGGATAGTGGCACTTTTTAATGGTTACCAGTAAAAGCTACGAGTTTGGGCTCATTTAATTCGTTTTGACAATTTCCATATATTACAGTTGTTTAAAGCGTGCTTTTTATAATATTTTTTAGTTAAGTTAACAATGATCTCGATATTCTTTAGACAATTTCGTAATAAAAACGTATATGAATTGAAAATGACAAATCACTTTCACGGAACCAATCAGTTATTGATCGTTTTTGAAATTCGAACGAATCATTTGTCACTTTTAAACGTCGAATATTTTTTGGCGCGACTTTTGTTCGATAATTGAAATGTGCGACGAATTATCTAGAGATGTCAAAAATTGACTTTTCTTAGTTTTTTTTTATTAATTATGTATTAACTCTACCTACTCACCTATAGTTGTTAAATATATTTTATTTTTTTATTTTTATTAAAACTTGTATTATTATTATACGTTGCAGATTTTTTCATTAAAATCAGTATCTATGAAAATGTAGTATTAATTAGAATTTCATGTAGGAAATAATTTTATAATTCATATTGTAATTTGTGTTACCGCCTCCAGGTAAATTTCTAAGTAATTAATTAAATTTCTGAGAAATCTATGGTTAACTGTAATGCCGGAGTGTCCGCGGTCGTGGAGGGATTATTATATTATTATTATCGATTTCTCTACCTATTATAAATATTATTGTATCTTTTTAATCGATTCAAACAAGTGAAAAGAGGTTTTTTAATCAAATTTTCTTTAAACCTAGGTTTATTGTTTTTCAAGAAGAATAAATATTTTCTTTCGAGAATATTTACATATATTCGGAAAATATGAAAATAAAAAATAAGACAGACAATAAACAATTAAACTAAGGTATAATTAAAGAATTTATATATGTAATAATTTATATGTAAGTAGTTTCTATTTAAAACAAGCTCAAACTAGATATGATATAAATTGTAATATGTATACGTATACACTAAGACCCTTGACCGCGTCACGTCGTCGCGCATTTAGCGACAATACGCCGTCGCCAGCTGACGCGACCCTTTCTGACTTTCCTCGGATTTACTAGTGTTTGGCTTATATCGATTAAAAATATTAAATAATAAACTATTTTTTTATCTGTGGCCTTTTTTATCTTTTAATAAAAGTAATTTATTACATGAATCTGAAAAAAAATTAGAATTATTTGGCTAATTATAACAGACACTTAAACTATTTTATTTATACAATGGTAATTTTAATTTGTTTATGTCGTATTTTTTTGTTGTTTTAGCTCATTAATATATTTATTATAAAAATGTAGAGATTTATTTTCTATTGTGTTTAAGCCGTCATGGTTTGCTCTTTGGTTTTGCATGTCAAACGTTTTATTTTAAAAATGACAAGTAATTATGTATTGTCAATTAAGTGACTTTGATACTTTATTATTTTACTTATTGTTAAGTTACTTTGCTTATGGAAGCTAAGTTAGCTTCTATTTGAATAATGGTTATAAGATTATAGAGTCCAAAAACTCGTTTTATTTATCTGGGCTAGGGCCAAAGTCTTTATAGCTATTAAAATCACTTCTCAAATAATTTCTCTTACGTTGCCATTAAGCGAATTGTAAATTTTATAATTGCTAACGACAATATCAACACAAAAATATCTACATAGTAATTGTGAGACAATATAGATAAAGTCAAACCGAAATATCGATACACTTCAAGAACAATCCCATCCCTAAACAAGACAGGGGTGCGAGCAACTCAGAATTAATTACTTTTTGACATATTCACTTTTATTACGATTTATACCGAATAAAGAGATACGGAGGCGCAACTAATTTGTAGAGGGGAGGCTGATATTATAGTAATTATGATATATTAGTTTGGAATATCTAATAGATTTACAAGCTGTTGTTAACGTCGAGCAATCCAGCCCAGCTGTGGGCAGAATAAAATATAGTTATAGGTAAAGTATTTATTTATATGTAACAGTTCATTGTACATATTTAAATAAAGAATTACAAAAGGATAACATAACAATGTATAAAAAGAAGAACGAAATATGAGCTACAATATTTGTCAATTAATATTTAATCCCTCCACGACTGCGGACACGCCGGCGTTACAATTAACAATAGATTTCAAAGAAATTTAATTGATTTCTTAGAAATTTACCTGGAGGTGTTAATAATGATATTGAATGATACCACAGATAATTTCTTAACAGTACATACTGCCACTGAATAGTGTTATCACTAGGAATTAGGACTCCACGTTAGTCGTGTAGTAGGTAATAATAGACTTCAAATATCTATTTTGTAATTCTTAAGCTTGACATCGGAATTCGGAAGTTTTTCGAAGATTAGGATAAAGGGGGGTTAAATTATTTGAAAAATAAATTAATTTCTACTAAGTTCAACAATAAGAGAGGAGGATCTCAATTTGGAAATTTTTGTTTGTAACTGTCTTATGTGATTTGTCAAAAATATCTTGAATAATTTTAAAACTTTAATCTATTACTTAGATGCCAAGATATATTTTCTGTCATGATAAATTCTTACCAAATA